TGTCCGAGTTACGTATTCTATTCATTTTAGTTGTGGCTGTTGCAACTGTTGTATGTCCTCCGTTACAGTTCTTTGTTTGTACTTCTGTAGAGTCAGTGCACGAGGTTCGAAGAAAGATGGTCCGCGCCAAAGCCTACATGACATTACCTGAAGTCATTTTTTATTTGCATAATAATTTTTGTTTAAGAAAAGATTATCTTGAGTCCTGTTTCTTGGACTATTTGGTAAAGGGTGTTGATTTTTTTTGGTTCAAAACCATACTTATCCCAACTCTAATATCGCCATAGCCGCCCCATCCCCGGTTTATTGGTCTCGTGGGGTGTTTTATTAGTAGATTTATTTGGGATTTGGTAGTAAATCTTAGATGGCCTGTGCCCATCTCTTCACAGCTGTGCTTGTATATTTAACGTATATTAACATGGCAAAATAATAAAATAACTATAAGATGAAAGAAGCGATATAATGCTTATATAAATAAACAATAATATATATTCTAAAAGGTTTACTGACATCGGTTGGTTAATAAAACTTTTACTGTGAAAATATTGACTTTCATAATAAGTGTTTCGAGACACTTGATGTAAATCCTCTGTTTATGTATTAAAAATACCTGTCGTAAAGCGAATTAGACATAGACAAGTAGATAAGCCTGCATGTTGAGACTGAACAGACCCCAGTGTTGCTAGGTGTGAGGGGGGGGGGTGCAAGGATACTGAAAATTGTGCTGAAGACTTTGGAAAACTTATCATCACTCAATCTTCAGCGTTGAATAAAATAATGCATAAAACCCAAACGGTGGGGAAATTGATAGCGGCTCGAATCTATTACATTCACTTACGTGCTAATACCTTTGTAAGAGGTATGAATCTTCTTCTTCTCCCCCCCCACCAGTTATGGGTAATTAGGAGGACAGACTGGATTCTATAGTCTTGAATGGCAACTGGTCTACCGCAGAAAGAAATGGCAACCTACTGCAGGAAAAGGTCAATCATGTATCGAAAGATACATGATCGCCTAATCGTGTATCACGTATGGCATATAACTGACTGATCTCAGTAAACCTAGATAAAGCAGTGTTTAATATTTTCTAAAGGAAGAAAAGGAAGTTACAGAATGTGGTGCAACGGTGTTTTAAGTGGGATCCAATCTATATTAAAACCTTCATTTGAAATCTAAGCTTCTTACAAAGGCTCAAAAGATTACGACAGACCCGGCTGTGAAATATGCATCAACCTCGACCACTAGTTAGATTAATTGATATTTATTTAGATAATAATTTTCACTGAATTATTTAAAGCGAGATAACATTCGAACATCGCCGATCGCGACCAGAACTATCGCTAGCCTCGATGAACGGATGTTCCCTGAGGGAGGTCCCGTGCCTTGAGCGCTTGCTGGGACTTAAGCTCAACCCTGACCTCAAGTGGAACTCGTATATACGATCCATCTCTAAAGAGGCTGGAAAATGGTCTTTTCCTTTTACCGCTCCAGCAAATGCCTAAATCTTGCTATCAGGCCCAAAATGGAGTACACGGGCAATAGCTGCCCAAACTTCACTTTCCAGTCTTGATAGAGTCTAAAAGTGTCTCCACATCCTTGTGAGTGATGAATTATTTTCCACACTTCTGATGAAATGTTGCAAGCTTCTGCTCTGTCGCTATTTTCATAGAACGTGTTCAACTGAACTACATTCCTTAGTTCTAGCAGTTCTAACCGTCACATGGGACTTAAACTTAACACAGACCGCAAGTGGAACTCTTACATCTTACTTATTATAAAACGCAGATTGTGTGTGTGTGTGTGTCTGTAACGTTTATATATTGGATCGGATTTCCTACATTTTTGAACCGATTTCAACAAAACTTCACAGGACTACATAAAATTACCTTGTGGTGGTTCTAATAGCGCCAAAAATGGGGAAAATATATATGTTTTTGCACAAAATCAATTTGAAAACACGATTAAGACACATCGTGAAAATGGAAGGGGGACAACTCACATCGGGTTGTTTGCGTGTGTGGGTTCCTTTAAATATGGGATCGGATTTCCTATATTTTTCAGCCGATAAAACAAAACTTCACTTTTTTTTTGGCAGGTAGTGTTTCTTATTCTCTTACACACTTTTTTCTTTATTTTTAATATTCACAATGCTTTAAAAATTCCATTTACAAGACAATTATTTATAATAAAATTCTATTCAATCGGGAGACTCATAATGATTGAAAACAATGTTTTTGTTTGAGTTTGGGTTTGACCAATTCGTAAAAAATAATAAAAAAAAACTAATTAAGACATACGTGTCCGTCAACCTTAAACAATCATCTAACGATCTCTACTGATTGTACGAATACAAACATCGGATAAATTCTTTATCTTTAGGGAAATATAATGAAATCTAAACGTACACAAGTCCTAACTAAAAATAATAACCGGAACGGGAAACTACTTTAAATACACATGGTGTCCAATTTTTTTTACTGTATTCAATAAGTAAAAATCATAAATTGTAAAAGATTATTATTACAGAAACGCTACTAAATGAATAAGATTTGTTAGATCATAATTAATAAACCCAAATAAAGTTAATATTTTTTGTATTAGAAACAACGAGTGGAAAATATATTCAAATCAGAATTCTAATTATGAATGACCACAAGCAAAATATGCAATTTTTTTTACTGTATTTGATAAGTAAAAATCATAAATTGTAAAACTAAAAGATTACAGAAAGGCTACCTACATTTTTCAACCGATTTCAACAAAACTTCACTTTTTTTTTTTGGCATGTAGTGTTTCTTATTGTCTTGCACACTTTTTTCTTTATTTTTACATTCAGAATGCTTTAAAAATTCCATTTACAAGACAATTGTTTATAATAAAATTCTATTCAATCGGTAGAGACTCATAACGATTGAAAACAATGTTTTTGTTTGAGTTTGGGTTTGACCAATCCGTAAAAAAAAAAAACTAATTAAGACATGCGTGTCCGTCAACCTTAAACAATAATCTTTGTCAATTTTATTTTTCAGTCTTTATGATGGTCGATACTTGATCTATCTCTTACTGTTACATCCCCGGGCAACGCCGGGCTCTCCTGCAAGTATGATCTATCTCTAAAGAGGGTGGGAAATGGTCGGTTCTCTGTGCCACTCCAGTAAGTACCTGACTCCTCCTGCTAACCTCTAGCTTTATAAGAACCAGATCAGGCCGAAAACGGAGTACTGTTGTCATGTACGGGTATGTGCTGCCTAGTCTTTACTTTAATGTCTCGATAGAGTCCAAAAGCGTCTCCGCGTTCTAGTTGCAGAGAAATTACTTTCCATCCTACACTCCTTTCTCACAGACGAGACTTTGCATGCCTCTCAGTGCTCTCTCGCTATTCCTATGGAAAGTGTTCAGACGAACTACATTCCATAGTTCCACCAGTCCTAACCTTCAGTTAAGACCCGCCATAATACACACATTGAAGCGGACCACTCTCATTTCCTTCGTATTCCATTCGAGCAGCTTCTTCTCAAATGCTGCTGCTCTGTGGGACCGGCATACAAAAGGATGCATCCCCGATCCTTATTATGTTAACCTGTTCAAGTCTAGGGTTAACCGTTATCTTCCTCACATATCCACATAAAACCTGCCTCGCACTCTGTAAAATTCTTCCTCGAATGGCTCTCGGGCCTTATACAGGATGAGCATCATTGTAAAAAAAAAAAAAACTATTTTTTTCCAAAGTATTAAGTTGTTCGGAAAATAATTTCCGGTTTTAGAATCAACGTTTATTCCTGTATTAATGTATTTAAACAGTGACTGAATCAGTCGATATAGGAACAGCGAACTTTTATATATTTCTGCCATTGCCTTAGAAGGTTAATTATATCTTTATAACAAAATTCTAAAGATTTGGGCGCCAAGAAATCTTTGAATGTACTTTCTGCATCTTCTTCCCAACGGAATGTTTTTTAGCATGAAAAAGGGTTGGCCGTTAGCTTCTTCACAAATCCACATGCTTGAAAAAGTGGTAGTCAGTGGGCGAGAAATGAGGGGAATATGGTGAGACGCATTATGATCAAGTCTGAATTGATAGAAAAAAAAAGAAAGCAAATATATTTCTTTTTTATCTGCATATATTTTTGAGAGGAGGTATTGTAAATAGTTACATTATTTATATTTTTTCGGACTGTTGTCCTCATCTTTATTGCTATATTCACGGCGATTCGGTCGTTGTACGCTCCGGCCTTCTTCAGGTGATTGGGATTTCGATATGAACCCTTTATTTCGACCACCGGGGTAGATTGTTCTAGTTTCACATGCCATGCCTCTTCCAGATGTCTCAGTTATCTCTCTTTGACTCAATTCTCCAAGGTTTTTGTTCACCACTGCAGTAGCCAGGTATTGAACTCACAACTCATTTATTTCGATGAGGGCAACAGTCCAAATAATGTAAATAAGCATTTCTTTTTTCCTGTTCATAATTAGAGGTATATAACGTTTTCAAGTTAAATTCTGGAAGGGACTGATATAAAATTAATAAAAAGGACACGTCAATCATTAGGAATAAGTAAGATATTTTGGGGCAACTATTATAATTTACGTATTAGAATACAAAAGGTTATTCTAAAATCGGACATTATTTTCCGAAGAACGTAATAGCTGAGGTTTAAAGAAGAAATGCAGCTGAATATTTCTATATAATAAACAAAATGCTATCTATTCTCCTGCTTCTTTTATTTCTTTTACGCGAAGAGATTTATCTACACACAGATTAATTGTTGCGCGTGTGTGAATTCGTTTGAAACTGACACTTGAGCTCCGTATACATTTTATTTTCTCTTTCCATGTAGACCTATGTACATATCTTTCCTCAGCTAACAAATGCTATTCATTTTTACTCTTCTCAAATATTCCGTTCACTTTGGCCCAACAAAGGTTTCTCATAACGCAATCCGCATAAGATAAAACCCAAATCAAAAAATCCTTTACCCTTCAATTCTTTGTATTTGAAGAGAAACCCGAGGTTTGGGAAGGTAGCAGAAGGGGTCCGGGCAATGTAAACATTGAACAAAGAACAAGGAAATCCAGAAAGCCCGCTACCCGTAACACACCAGCCACCATCGAACTTCACTCTTTCTCACCAAAAATATCCGCTCATTTGTCAAAGGCAAACGCTACCCCGGTTCCTACGGCTTCATTATATCAGAAAATTTACCTCGACCGCTCCCTACTGATCCACGCTCGCCCCCTGCCACCGTCTGCCTGCAACGATGGTTTTGTCGGCCGTATTCAACTCTAATCTGCCTCTTATTCTCGCATCCGTTATCAGAAAACAAATATTTGGTCTTCTACTTCCCACTGCTGTCTCTGTCGGAGGACAACCCTCTCCCATCCAATGTGGACCTCAACAACGCTCTCCGACCCTATCCACCGCTGCTCCTGTCGTCCGTGTGATAAGGAGCATTGTGCCCCCATGCGACCCGTGACAAATATTGACGAAAGCGCCGCCGCCATATTGCTTTCCTTCCAACCCTATAGTCTTTTTTGTTGTTGAAACTTTCTTCTTCTTCTTCTTCTTCTTCTTCTTCTTCTTCTTCTTCTTCTTCTTCTTCTTCTCACCATTCTATTGGCGTTATCCTCTTTTTTTCTAGTCCCCCCTCATCTTCGCTTGTTACGCTTCTCTTCTTGTTTGTTCTCTGTAAATCACTTTCAAATTGACTTTCATCTCACTTGACAAATTTATCTATCTGATTATTTTCTTTGTCGTCCTGTGACTGCATCGAGATATTTCGCGCCAACCACGCCGGGTGACACTCTGTCCACAATGATATTAAAAATGCGTTTTTCTTTTCGATTTTTTTTTGTTTTGTTTATTTGTTTGTCTATTTCGCTTTTCTGTCTCTCTCTTCTCGCTTTTTATTAATGCAAACGTATTGAAGTGTTTATGTTACTGTGTAAATATATATACATATATGTATGTGTATATATGTGTGTTTTCCATTGCACATATAGAAAGAAAGACAGCCATTAGAGAGAATGATATAGCGAAGAGATAATCAGACATGTAAACATTCTATTTCTTTCTCTCTCTCTCTCATTTTCTCACTCTCTCTTTCTCTCTCTGTAAGTTTAGCATTGTACGTATTTCCTGCTAGAAATCTGGTGTGAAATGGCGATGTTCGAGCCGCGACAAAGCAAAAATTCAAATGATAGCGATGTTGAGGCGCTGAAAGTGAAGTAAGCGTGGCGTGTTCGAGTTACAACCTAGTCTATTTCATTCAATTCATTTTTTTGCCCCCCTCACCACAGCTAAGAGTCTAATAACAGGTTCGATTAGAATCTCCAATTTTAGGTACCAACCGTTCTAGAAGAAAGGCTACTCTGAAGTCGAAACCGCGTAAAGGTAATTGGAAAAGGCTCGACTATATCTCCGAAGAAGCCATGATATTTCATAATGAGGAGGCCGTAAAGAGCCATCACCACCTACGTTCTAGAGTGATATGGCATAAAAATGAACGATGTTCACCGCAGGCAAATTCATTTCACTTGAAAGATTGGCGCAGCATAATCTCGCTTCCGTCTATATCACGTTAAAACACCAGTTATTGTACGATCACCGGAGTTAAGCAACATCGAACCTGCTCAGCACCTAGATGGGTGACCGCTTGGAAATACCAGGTGCTATCAACTTGTGTGTGCGTGTGTGTGTGTGTGCGTGTGTGTGTATGTGTGTGTGTTCATGTGTGTGTATGTGTGTGTGTGTGCATGTGTGTGTGTGTGCATGTGTGTGTGTGTATGTGCGTGTGTGCATGTGTGTGTATGTGTGTGTGTAGGTGTGTGTGCATGTTTGTGTGTGTATGCGTGTGTGAGCATGTGTGTGTGTGTATGTGTGTGTGCATGTGTGTGTGTGTGTGCATGTGTGTGTGTGCATGTGTGTGTATGGGTGTGGCATAAGGGATAACAGTTCGTAATTTGGAATCGGAGAGTCGAGTTCCAATTCCAGTCGGGTTTGTTATGTTCACTCACGCGCAAATACCCTTGGCAAATGTATAAATACACACCTTCTCTATCTCTCTTAGCTATGGATTAATTAGTAGTACTTGTAGATATTTATTATGTAAAAATTACGTAATTGTGGCACAAGGCCGAAAAAAGAGGAGGGGTTAAGGCTGGTCCACAGTGACTATCTTATACCTAGCTAATCCGATTCACGACCCATTCACTCATTACAATTTACCCATTCACCACAAGAACTCGTCCATCACCAATCAATCCTCCATGCACCATAATACCACATTCTCTCTAGGGGAACCTACAAAACGCGCCCCATGCCATAAAAATTTAATGATAGTGAAATATATATAAATTCTGTGATGAAAAAATGAGAGGGGAGGGAGATGAACCCACTAACAAACTGAAATATTAACACAAATCAAATTAAACATAACTGATGTTAGTAGGGGCCCATCCAACCCTTAAAAAGGAGAGGCTGCTTTATTAGTAATGCTTGTATCAGTGAAACATTATTCATTGACATATTAAGTAGCACTTGTATCAGTGAAACATTATTCATTGATATATTAAGTAGTACTTGTATCAGTGAAACATTATCTCCAAAAATTTCTTACAACCCATAAATATTTTATGGCTTTAAACAACCTGCAAATACTTGATAAGCCATAAAAACAAATCACTCAATCAATCCTAACCCTAACCCTTATTTGACCTTGTGCCCTACTTAGCCCAATTCAATAAAATGTATATATTCATATTTCTGTCTTTCTCTGTCTTTTCTCTTTTTATAGATACAATCAAATTGAAATGTTTAATTAGTTACTATATTTCCTGGTTCTACCAAGTCAGATGTTAACGGAAAGGATATACCATGCCACTTACGTGGTAGCAAATCCCACACACATCCTCTGTAATGATTGTAGTGAAACTTACTTCTCACCAATAGTGAGAAGTAAGTTTCACTCGAACGGCTTCTTATGACTCCCTACAATCGTAACCTTTTCAAGGCTAGGGTTAACCTTTATCTTCCACGCATAAATGACCTCCTAACGTAGCCCTCTACCTCGAGTGCACTCTCGGGTCTTTTAAAGGGTGAACATTGCTGTAAGAAAAAAGCAAAAGCAAAAAAAAAAAAAAAGAAAAAGCAACAGCTTTGAAAGTCTGTTAAACCGGGACTAAGATATTGGCATTCACGATGCATGGTTTTGTCGAGAAACTCTTGAAGTTTATTGCAGAATCGTACAGATGCTGAGTTATAATTCCGTTCATTCTGCAATGGAAATATTTTAGTCGAAGAGAAAGACAGAAAGTGGGGCAACTGGGTTAAGATTTATTGCGTAAGATACACAATTGTGTCAGAAGGCTGAAAGGGGGGAAAGGAGTTGAGGCCGATCGTCACTTACTATCCTATACCTAGCTAATCTGATTCACGACTAATTCATTCGTTATAATTAACACATTCACCACAAAAACTCATCCATCATCAATCAATCCTCCATATGCTATAAAAACGCATACTCTCGCGAGGGGGGGGATAATAAACGCACCCCATGATATAAAAATACTATACATAAAAATTTGTACATGATATAAAATTAGGGAGGAGGGGATTAACCCCCCAAAAAACAAACTAAAATATCAAAACAAACAAATGAAAGATAACTATTGTTAGTTAAACCCATCCAGCCGTCAAAGAAGTGAGGCCGCTGTATTCTTCCCTACGACAGAATCAAGAGGCTCTCTCGCTAAGGGAGAGGGAAAGAAGAAAATATATATGGACATGGGGAATAAATAAACTGACCCAGTGGAGATGAAAGGAGGAAAAAAAAACTGGGAAGGTTGGGAATCTGAACTTGGTTTATAACCAAGATGTAGCCGGGAGCAGGCCGGGAACAACGTTACTCACATTAAATAGTTACACACAGGGGAGGGCTCCACAGGAAACCACCCCGATGTTAATTAGGTAGACTTAAAAGAGAAAATCAAGGCTAGCCTCGTTGACACGAACCAAGCTCGCCTCAGTCACCCAACTTTCGCTAAAGTCTGTCGAAACCAATCATTTTTTATCATTTTCTATCTTATGCTCAAAGAATCGGATAAGATCCTGATGAGAAAGATGGTTGTCTTGCAAGACTTCCTCCTGTCGCGTCGTCCAAATCACCATTTGAGCCGTGGCCAGCAGCTATAGAAACACCAACTGTGTTACAAGCTTTTATAACACGTTCTTAAATGCATATATATATATATATATATATATATATATATAATTATTTTTATAAAAAAAAATTATAACATAAGTATGTTATAAAATCACTACAAAATAGCCATTTTGTTTCAACACACTCTGTGTCTTATCAAGGATGATGTTGAAAAAAAAAAAAATCCGTTATAATATATATATATATATATATATATATATATATATATATATATATATATATATATATATATTATAACGGCGTTCTTAAATGCATATAAAATGCACGTCACTTCTCGATTACGTCACAACATTCTTTGCTTACGTCACGACATTCATTGTAGGCTGGTTATATTGGGCCTGTGAGAAAGAAACTGCATTAATGCTACATGTAAATAAATGAATGAATCTGTGGAATAATCCACGTTACCTTTTCACCCCTTTGCAGAACAATTCATTCTTACACCCACACACTAGTTATTCAATCAAAACACTAGTTCTGACAAACTCAACTTCTCATTGGCCAACAGCCTTAAAAAACTATGTATGCACGTGAAAAATCCCTTTGGCGTTCAAAGGTGTTTGAGCCTATTTTTCCTTTTCAGAACCTATAAAAGAAAGAAATCCGAACCAACTTACCAGTCAGATTTCTACACTCAGAGAGATGCCAACCAATTCCACCCCAGTTTAAACTTTGACTTACCCGCGCGAATTAACCTCTGACTCAACAACTCTTTGTCATACCCAATCTCTCTTTTAAACAAACTTCTCAAAATTCATTTACTTTACTTGAAGAAATTGAAATATATATTCACTACATATTAGTAACAGTAACAAACAAAACTTTCAACAATTAACAGTTCAAGGTACGCAACTTCGTACAACTTAAGAATATTTTACATGATACTCATATACACACACTAACATTTGAACTGTAAAATCGAACACTTTTGTACGTTGAACAGCAAACTGTTTAATTCTTACAACAAATCTCCAAAGCACTGATTTAAGCATTCAAACATATTCAACAACAAAATACATGTCTAATTACATCAATATACAACAAATCACCAATTCATAACTCATTTGTATATATTTAAATTGTATATAAATTACCATATTGTTGTGTATTTTACTTGTCTTTGTTTTTAACTCTGCTTTGCATGACCTGTTCTAAATATTCGTTTATTATTTGTTGTGGATGAATGTTAACGAACACGCCACCTAAAAAAATTCCTTCTGATTTAACTAAATACATTCACTAATCCCCAACAAATCCAGCTATCTCATCATCAGATATATATTTTTAATCATTTCAACCCAAGCAAAGCGGGAATGCCACTAGCACACAGAGTGTTACAGATACTGAAAGTGAGAGAAAAGACTGGGCAATAGGGGAAGTTGAGGAAAGGATAAAAGATGAACGGGATTTGTCAGTTGAAAACGAGGCCAAGAAAGCGCAGTGTCTTGTTTTCCAGGGGTCTAGCATCAACCATGCTAGTAACCG